TGCAGATTACAGAGGAATGACAAAGCATTTTCAAATGCAGGGATCTTCAAAACAAAAATAGTTCATATGTAATGTAAAAAAATCCTAAGACTCTATAGTAGAGAAAATACTTAACTTCTTGTCAAGAGAAAAGCTTCTCAAGGAGGAAAAACCTTAGACAAATAAAGGCAAATAAGACATCCAGACTGCAGGAGGAGAGCAATCCAGATAAGCTGATTAGACAAATTTAGCTGAAAACCTACATTCACTTAATTACAATTACTATACTTAGGGCAAGGAAGATAGAGAGAAAATGACAACTTTTAACTGAAGCATGCTGTCTTCTTAATAAATAGTAATTTTGCAGTTGCTCGAGTAATCAGTCTCAATATTAGTAATAAAAACACCATAACAAGATCAAAAGACATTAGTCAAGTTTCTGTCATGCTGAAATTATATTGACAATACTGGTTCAGCAACCGCAAACTTTAAATGTAGGGAAGATTCAAGGTGTCAGGGAGTTTCAGTAGTAAAGAAGATTACATCCTTTTAGTTATACTTCATCTAAGCTAACAAAAATATATGGACAGTTATTTCAGCATTAGGACAATCAAATCTCCTAAAAAAAGTATCTAATCTTTTAATCTAACACCTAATGCAGTAGGTCCTGAGTGTGCTCAAAGAAGGATCAGCTAGAGCAGAGGGACACAAAATCCTTTATGGGGAGAATGTTCCAAAATATTATTTTTTACATTTAAATAGAATTTCCTGTGTTTCAGTTTTTGTGCCGATTGCCTCTTTTCCTGGGCAGTACTATAGAAAACTGGATCTTTGTCCTCTATTCCTCCCACAGGATATCTGAACACATTAACAAGACACTCCTCATATGAGAGATGCTCCAGTCCCTTCATCATCTTTGTGGCCCTTCACTGGTCCCACTCCAGTTATGTTCACGCTTCTGTTGCACTGGGAAGGCCAAAACTGGACACAGCACTCCAGTTTCTCTCACCAGTGATGAGTGGAGGGAAACAATTATTTCCCTTGATACCATTTTGCACATAGTCCTTCCCTTCTCCAGGTTAATTTGTGAAGCCCATGTATATATTAACCCTGAATGACACTCCCACAATGTTTTAAATATTGGTAGTTCAATAGAGACAGCTTCAAAAACCACTTTAACCCCTCGCACAGTCTTTAGTTTCAAGGCTTGTCAAGATGAGTTTGAGCAACCCTGATTTAACTCAGTGCTCACATTGTATGTGACTGAAGGATTTGTTAAGGCTAGTTAGTCTCAGCAGAACTTAAATTCCTACAGTCTGGGGTGATTGAAGAAGTGACTCTTCTGCCATAACTGCCAAATGTTTGCCAACCAGCAAAAAATGACTGTGCATTTTAATTAATGACCTCCCAAATCTTCCCTTTTCCACCATATAATGAGAGCCAAAAGTATCAAAATATTCCTCCTAGCTTCTGAAAGCCTTTGGATCAGAGATTCTCTCCTAACCAAATTTTACTTCTTTCCATCCATCCGTGGGACTGAGAATTACTGCTAGTAGCAGTAGTGTTGGTAAGCTTAGGAACCTCAGTAATGAGCAGGATTCTGTGTTACCTTGTTCTGCAGAACAACTAAATTTCTATTGATTTCAGCTGAAGAAAAAGAGGAAGAAGGTAAGTGCAGAAATATGAAGAAATACAGGGATCTACATGCAAAAATATGGAAATGTAACCCTGCCTGTAACTTTTACAGAGTGCCTGGAAAGAACTGGAATGTGGTATTTGAAACTATGTGACATGCCGTCTATCCTCCCAGGTGCACAACAGAGTCAATTTTTTTTTTTTTTCGTGATGGAGGTTGTAAATACTGATTCAGTCAGAAATGCAAATTGAAACTATGCCATCAGTATAGAATAACTCTGTCCTACCCCTTCAGTGAGAGCCAGGATGTGCATGTTGTTAGATGCCATTTCCTCAGATATCAAAGGTAGTTCCAGCTCTTCATTCTGAGTGGAGGAAGTAGGATGTTGGGAGTTTTCCTGGGACAGTATGCTGCAGGCCCAGCTATGCACCCAGACTATGCAGCATCTCTTACTCTTTAGGTATCTGAAGAGTATGGCCAAGATCTAAGTATAAAATCAGTCATTTTGGGTTACAGATTAATGCATTTCTCAGGTTACAGACTCAGCACATACTGAGGAAGGGATAACTCATTGATGTTGATCTGTGGTAATTACAAGGTCAAACAGTTTCAGGGAAGATATGAATAAAAAAAAAATGAATTTACAGTACTCAAAACAGATATAAAGGAAGAAATTAAAACCATTTTAATAGGCTTTTTTCAAAATTTGCTTTCGGAAGAGTCTCAGTACAGGGTGCGATGTTTCTCCAGAACTTGCTTATATACTACAGATTTTCTCTCAGTTTCATTTTGTTTCATTTTAGAAAAGTATTAGAAATGAAAGTAATCATCAGGAAACACCAACACTCCCAGGGTAGAAATTAATATTTAAATGTTTATATTTATCAACTATGAAATTAAACTGCAGTCTCAAACAGCCTAGGACTGCAGGGATCAGTCCTATGCCTGGTATAAATTTATTTATGATCTCAATTAAGGTCTACAAAGCTTGTATATAAATGCCGAGAGTATCAACTAGGAAAAATAATTTAAAAGGTTGATGACATTTTATGTATTGAAAAATGCAGGATAAGAGACACTGTCTTCAAAGATATGTTAGATTCTTCATCTGGAATAAACTGTATCAGTTTTACAAATACTAAGAAATATTGCAAAACTGCTACTGTCAGCAGGAGCTGACAAGCACCTCAGTAGATCTGGATCTTCAGATTATGGTTCTTAGTTGATAATGAATCAAAAGCAGTATGTTAGCAGAAAAGGATCACAGTGACTGCTTCCCTAAGACAGGCAAAGATCTTTGTCTGTAGACAGGAATAGTACACTCCTATTTGGAGTTTTAGGCCTAGTTTTTAGTTCCAAATTTCAGATAATGGGAAGTGAACAATAAGTCAATACACAAAAGAGAGAAATAGCGATCGTCAGATGTCTAAGAATTCATCCCTGATGAAAAGGCATGTATTATTGAAGTACACCCACTGAAAAAGAATGCTGAAAAACTAAATTTTCTTTTTAAACACTTAAAATATGATGAGAAAGGAAGTGATTTTTCCATAATATACGTGGTTGAAGGTACAGGAACTGATGTTCTTTGCAGCAAGTTAGCAGTGAGGAAATAACTTCTACTATGGAGTAGAAAATGTTACAAGGAATTACAGCACTGTCTATCTCCAAGATAGAGAGTGACTGAGTCTCAGAAATAATATGGATTCTGTTGAATGGATAGTGAATAGATTGCAACAAAAATTGTTCATGTCCAGGTATAGGTAATTATCACAGAACTGTTGATTTGAGACCTATGTGTGGACAAAGGAGGAATGCTGTATGCAGTATGCTTGACAGTTCATTATATTTTTGAAACCATCTCCCAAGTTCCCAAGTTTGGGATCAGAAGGACTACAGGAAGAATCAGCAGGCTCTTAGATATTTGAAAATTGTCTGTAGCAGAGGGTCAAGGGGCTGTACTTAACAACTTAGTGTCTGCAGACAACTGGTTATGAAAACAATGCTCCAGGGCTGGTGTTTAGTGTTTTCTGGAACAGCCTGGGTGCTGAGGCAGAATGTACACTTAGCTAGTGCAGATAGCACAAAGTGAAGAAGGCAGACAGGGTCAAAAGTAATACTTGCAGACAAAAGGGGTGTTAATAAGCTTGAGGTATGGGCCAACAGAAATCTTGTGCAGTTTGTCGAAGAGAAGCGCCGAGTTCTGCACACAAGGGCAGTTGCATGCTGCTGCCTCAGCATAGTCCAGGTGATGACAGGTCTGACCTGGCCAGGACCTGGACATTGTGATTAATTCCTTAACTACTGTATCCTTAAAGACAAGCTGCTTTGTCCAGAGCACGACCATGAATAAATCCCTGTACGTGCCTGGGGTTTTCAACTGGAATTTTTTGTTTTCCAATTAAGTATTGCTGTAATGAAACAGAGCACAGCAGCAGTGTCTGGAGACACTCACAAAAGGCATATCACAATTTTTCAGAGTTGGCTTCCTCCAGAAACACATAGCCCAAAACAATATTCAATAAATTCCTACAAGCATGTTCACATTAGATTTTCACTTGGAAAACTATGCCCCAGAGAGAGCATTTAGACAAGGCAGTACTTCAGCTTCTTTTAAGTACTTACAGCTCTGTAAGGGTTGGCAGAGTTCAGCTGAAAAAGTGCTGCCCAGACCAGCTCTGCATGAGGCCAGGCAACAAGAGGAGCTACTCGGTCTCAGCTGTGCAAAAAATGTGGTGCTTACAATTCTTTCTGGATTCACCTTTCTGACTTAATCAAGGGACAGTGCATCATGAGACCTGTGCTGCTTCCATCAAATGCCAGTTTAGAAAGAAGAGAAAGGATCTGAGAGAAGCAAAGCTCCTGAGCATCCAAATTAGCTGGGGTTGCTGAGTAGCTCATTTGCTGTTTACTGTGTCTCTACCAAACTGCAGGAACAGATTTGCATGGGGTGCTACTGAGCTTTGCTTCTCTCAAATCCTCTTTGGTGTTTTCCTCAGACAAGCCCAGGAGTGCTAAGGCGACGGCCAGAATTTGCTCCACATTGTTGCCCTTGCCCCACCCCCTACAGGTTATTGACCCTGTCTTTTCTCTCCCATATCCTGTAAAAGCTTCATGTGAAGAACTGGGTATTTCATTAACTTCTCAACACCCCAAACCTGATCTAGGAGTTCCTCCAGCCTTTTTTCTCTGGACCTATCCAGCTATACCAGCTGTTCCAGCTGTTCAGTGAGCCTGCAAGATTTCAGCTTGTGCATGGAGGGATGGGGGTGAGGCCCCTGCAAGTCTTCCTCCCAGCAGTGACTCAGACAACATGCCCACAAGACAATTCTTGGAAGATTTTGCCTCTCTGTGGATCATGTGATCTGTAAGCCATTCTATGTGAATGGCAAACTGCATCCTCAAAGGTCAGCCTAAAATGCTGGACCACAAGAGAGGTCTTTTATTGATTTACCAGTCCCTGCTTATTTTCTGAATTTGGTAGCAAGAAGGAAGTTGGAAACAGCCCAAACCAAGGCTGCAGCCCAAACTCTTATCTCTGATCAGTGGGAGTGGTTAAATAAAAAGATGAGACTGTGTCTCTCCACCTCTGACTGTCTGAATTAGCAGGGAAAGGCAGGGAAAATACTAAATTAGTTATCAGTGTACCAGTCATTACACTAAACTTGCAGTACTTGCCAGTTTTGCTTGGACAGCAGAAAGGATTTCTTATTCTAATGCCAGAAGATTCCTTCCACATGGTAAATCCACACATGCAAATATTGATTTTTGTGCCTCAGTCTCAAAATCAGAGCTTTCTGTGATGTGGAGTTGCGTTATGTATATGTTTTATTATCCCTGTATTATGTATTGGTTTATTCCTTTGTACCCCCGTGTGCAACTTAGTTTATCCCCAGTTTTCCCGCCTTGTCCTCCCTTCCCGCCTTCCCAGTATCTATCCATCACCCTGAAAGAGGCATTTTACCCCCCCCGGGTGCCTTGGGGCGGGAGCGCGGCACTGTGCTTAAAAATATTCTTACCAAAATGATGTGTGCTGGTCTATTTTAGTATGCACAGCTTTCTAGCATGGTTTATGTGCTGAACTGAAGGTGCGGTGTGGGCATGGGGACACAGAGTGCAAAGAACACTGGGGTAGATTTAGTAGCTTAAGGACTGCTAAAGAAGTCAGATCTTATGCAGTTTACAGTCCTGTGTAGAGGCAGGTCCCAGCTGATCCCATCTCCATGCTCTAGGAGTTGAATACTCTCCATCCATGTTCTTTCAGATATTACATGATGAGAGTTTAACGTTTAATTTTAAATTTTCCTAATGATTATTTTTGATGTTAGATTGTATTTTTAATTATCAGAAGGATAAGAAGGATACTGTATTGAAATTGCTCCAAGCATAATAAAACATTTGGAATAGACAGTTTAATCACTGTAGAAACAAAATTCTCATTACTGGTCTCTATATGCTCAGTACCAGTGCTGCCCCCCCCTGCCCAGTCCCTGGAAGGGAATAGGTCAGTTGAAATCATCTCAAGCCTTTAACTGTCTCTAAACTTTTACATTTTTTTCTCCAGTTTTCACAAATTATATTGGGCTGATTCACATGTACACAGCCCATTCTCCCCACCCCTCATTTTCATCTGGCTTGCTCAGGAAGGAGTTAGTCTTTGTTAGTCATCTGAGGAAATCTGATGATTCACTGGTGCAGCTCTCTTGTCTAAAACCATGGTAACCCTTCCGTCTTCCCGATGTTGAAATAAGAGCACTTTTCTTTTCAGTGTGTTATTCCACCAGCTCGTTGAGGTTTTGCCTTTCCCTTCTGAGCTCTCCTCGCTTGTGGGAATATGCTGCTCTGTCAAAAGTGCTCAGGTTTTCAGTGCAAGGGAAGAATTTATTTCTTTCCTTCAAATGAAATCTGTGTTTTTAGCATGGCAGATTCCAAGAGCATCAATACAGTGCAAAGCAGGGATCTGTACAACCTGCCTCCTTCACAGAGGGCTTAGGGCATTTCCATTCTTCCTTTGAGAGTGACACAGAATATTTTGAAGGGAGAAGGAAGCACCAGCTGCCAGTGGGTGGAAAATAAGGAATATGAAATCTTATACAGTACGTACCCTAAATACAAAATTATTCATTTGAAAGTACAAACATATTTCCAGAATTTTATTCATATATATTCTTAATATATTATGTCTAGCAATATTTTTTTTACTAATGTTGACCTAAATTCAAAGTAGCCTATGAATGAATTTTAAACTTTGTACATAGAAATTATGTTTGCCTTTCACACATAAAAGGACAAGAGAAAACCAACATTATTTAGATATTATTTTTTCAGTTGTACCAGCTCAGGATGTTTTTACATCATGACATTTGGAATGTCCTAAGACCACACCTGACTTTCAAATAAGGTAATTCAGAATATCTTTTGTTTCCAGTATTGATATAGAAACACACACGTGTATGCACACACACACACACAAAAAAGATAAAGACTGAAAAGCCTAATCTATAGTAAAATGCAAGGTGATTTTTTTTACTAATCCAGGAGCAGAAATTTCAGTCTATATTTATAGTAAAGGTCATTTACAAAAATGACCTCTGCAGTAACTAAAAATGAGCAAAATTAGCAGAAGTCACAAACTAATATAACTTTAAGAAAATAAAAAATATTCTATTTCACCTTCTGGTTAATATGTGATTACAGACAAAAAGATGTTGATATAAAATTGGAATATTTAAGAAACGAAAGATGAGGATCAAAATAAAAAAAAACAAAAAAAATAAAAAATAATAAGAAAAAAAAATTAAAACTCTTTAGAGATTTCAAATCATTAAAAAGAATGAAGCAACGTTTATAGCACTTTGAATACAAATTAACCAAAAGTAATAATAAAAGACATAATGAAAATAACGGGAATTCGAAGGAAATCACAGTAAATCAACTATAAATCCCTTCCACTACACCAAAATATAGTACGCGCACATATGCAAATGGTTTATACAAATGTAGGGAGCGGGGAGAAAAGTTTCCAACTGTAAGAACACGCATATCGCTGGAATCTTTTTCCTGGAGGAGATTCATTCTTTGGTTTACTTGCCAGACCTTACGGCTCCCTAAACAGGTAACAGCGAACGATGTTTCATCATCGGTGACGCACCAGGGAAATGGCGGGAACCCCGCCCCCTCCTCTTTGCAGGCTTCAACCAGGTCGGACCCAACACCATAAAAGCCGCGGCGCGGCCGCAGCTGCCTCACACCGGCGCTGTCGGCAGCGGCTGCGGTAGTCTCGTCATGTCTGGCCGGGGCAAGGGCGGCAAGGGGCTCGGCAAGGGCGGCGCCAAGCGCCACCGCAAGGTGCTGCGCGACAACATCCAGGGCATCACCAAGCCGGCCATCCGCCGCCTGGCTCGGCGCGGCGGCGTCAAGCGCATCTCGGGGCTCATCTACGAGGAGACGCGCGGTGTGCTCAAGGTCTTCCTGGAGAACGTGATCCGCGACGCCGTCACCTACACGGAGCACGCCAAGAGGAAGACGGTCACGGCCATGGACGTGGTCTACGCCCTTAAGCGCCAGGGTCGCACTCTCTACGGCTTCGGCGGCTAAAGCCTTCTATTCACTTCGGACTGCACCTAGAAAAAACCAAAGGCTCTTTTAAGAGCCGCACACTTCAACTATAAAAGAGCTGTGTTGCTTTAACGTGATTTGTTAGCCTAAGAATTTTAAATCAATAATTATCAATGGCTTTATATTATTTTGCAGAAAGCACTTAATTTTAACTGTGAGTCACGAGATTAATCTTGCTTTTAAGAGCCTGAGGGTCATCTTATTTAAATGTTCTATGTTCAGGACAGTGTCTTAAGAGACCTAAAAAAGTACCAAAGAAACCTAAACGTAGCCTCCTTTTCCGTGGTGACGCCTTAAAGGTGTATCACCCTGCAGGCATCTCATCTCAGGGATTTTCCCCCTTAATGTGTAAACAGTAGAAGTAGATACTTATTTAAATAAAGTTAATGTCGATTGTAGTGCAAGATGAGAATTATCAGCTCCCCAAGTTCCTTCTTAATGTTAAAAAAAGGTCCCCGTTGTCCTCTGAATGTGATGCATAGGAAATTGTCCATTATTTCCTCTTTCACTGAGTTAAGGGTTATGAATACACTTCCTTTTAATTCGGGGGGCCAGAGGTGGTCTCCGTACGTGCCTGCCTTTCACCTGAAAGCCCTTCTGATCGGGCTCCAAAGACAGCTCACGCGAGTAGGGCAATATTGCACATATATTCAGTGAGGAAAACATTCAGCTGACCCCTTGCTGCGCTTCACCAGCAGCCTAAGGATTCTTTGCATGCGGAAAGTTTCAGTAATTAGAACGCACTCTACCTTGGGCTAGAAGACTTGCATTTACAATTAATGTTGATCCAAAAGCATTTACCCTGCCAGATAAAAGTTACAAAATGTGGAGCACGACCTCTCCCATCAAAACTCCCTCAAAATACGCAACCCTACACACCCCGTAGTAACGAAAATCCAAGCCCAAAAATGCTATTATGATTCCTATTTCGACAAAATAAAAAAAAATAAAGGCAATTAGAAAAAAAACCTAATGAATTTTCTATGCATTCAGCTCAGCATAATTTGCAGTTTCTCATTTCCCGTTTGAACGCTTCTCCGTAAAGGGTTCATTTTTGAGGGAGATTGTGAAAATTGTGATAAGAGATCACCCCTAAAGCAGAAGCGGCGGGGGCGAGACCGGGCCGGGGTGGGGTCGGGGGGCGCTGAGGGCGGGCAGCCGTTGGGGAAGGCGCGCACGTCCGAGGCGGGATTTTTGAAATTGAAAGTACCCAATAGGAGCGGCGGAATCCTAACAGCCAATCAGAGAGCTGTGCCGTCTATAAAGGCAGCCGAGGCAGCAAGGCGCGCTTATTTCTTCGCCTCCGGTCCCGGAGTTCGTGGCGAGTTCTTGCAGCGATGGCGCGCACGAAGCAGACGGCGCGGAAGTCGACGGGCGGCAAGGCGCCCCGCAAGCAGCTGGCCACCAAGGCTGCCCGCAAGAGCGCGCCGGCCACGGGCGGCGTCAAGAAGCCGCACCGCTACCGGCCCGGCACGGTGGCGCTGCGCGAGATCCGGCGCTACCAGAAGTCCACGGAGCTGCTGATCCGCAAGCTGCCCTTCCAGCGCCTGGTGCGCGAGATCGCGCAGGACTTCAAGACCGACCTGCGCTTCCA